ATAATCACTGATAACAAAGCCTTTTATGATGAACTTTTAGACCTCGAAGAGTCTGATAGGTTTCCCGAGTCAGCAACTCAGGGGTTGTCTCACCATATCAATTATAGGGGGGGACCCAAAGAAAGAACGTTGGGTTCACCCCAAATTCTAGGGGCCACTGCCCCTCAGGTTCCAGCTATCCAGTGGTCCCCTGGGTCACCAGTATGGGTGGAGCAATGGCCATTGTCTGAGACAAAGCTACAGGCTTTAAAGGAAATTGTGCAGGAAAATTTATGGTTGGGCCACATCCAAACTTCTATAAGTCCATGGAACACACCTGTTTTTGTTATTAAGAAAGCCTCTGGCAAATGGAGAATGTTGCAAGACTTTCGTAAAGTCAATGCTAGGATGACCCTAGGGAGTACACCCTTAAGGGGACTGCCTTGGTCCCTGCTATCCCCTCAGATTTATTTCTTATAGTTATGTACATTAAAGATTGTTTGTTTGTTTTTTTCTATCCCTTTACAACCCCAAGATTGTGAAAAATTTGCGTTCTCTGTGCCTTCCACCAACTTTAAAATGCCTGATGAGAGGTATGAATGGACTGTTTTACCCCATGGTATGGCCAATAGCCCAGCATTCTGCCAAAGCTATGTGAAGACCCTTTTGGGTCCTGCTCACTTGTTGCCACATGTCACTGTGTACGTTTATATGGATGATATAATCTTAGGAACTCCAAGCCCCCAACAATTAGAAAAGTTATATGAGGTTACTCAGAAATGTCTACAGACAGGCAGACTTCATGTATCCTCTGATAAAATACAGACTATTGCTCCCCTTAAAATTCTGGGAACCACACTCTCTTTGGAAGGAGTAAGTCCTTTAAAACCAAAACTGGCTGTCAAGCCCACCATAACCCTGACAGAGCTACAAAAATTATAAGGAGAAATTAATTGGCTATGAGCCTGGATGCCTATTCCCACTGAGACTTTAAGACCATTGTTTCACTTGCTAGTAGGAAAACAGCCTTCAAGACTTATTCACCTGGCTCCTCAACACCTGGACATCTTACATGAGGCCCAGGATGCCCTGGACTAAGCCCAACTTGCCTGGTACACGCCTAGTAAAGATCTTGAGTAATGGATACTCTCCAGTGAGACCCTGATGACATCCGTCCTTAGGCAGTATGGGAAGCCCCTTCAATGTGTGCATGCTTCTCTGGGAGGTGTACCATGGGTTTATACACCCATGGATCAATTGGCTGACCTGATTGAGAAAGGATGTGATGTAGCTCTGAGACATTATGGCATAGACCTTCTTAAAATTGTTATCCCCTATTTGCTTAGGGATTTTGAACGGCTCTGGAGAAATAATGACCGAGTGGCCATAGTCTTGGAAGGGTTCCTGGGGAATTTGGACTGTCATTATGGCCCTCATAAATGGGTGGTCTCCTTTCACACCCTCTGTTGGGACACTCCCGTCTCTTTGTCAGGGAGCCCTTAGTAAAAGCCTACAGTGTTTTCACTGACAGGGACATATTTAGAGATGCAGTGGTAGTATACCCGGGGGCAGATGAGAAACCAAAAAGATATGTCCACACTAAGTGATGGCTCAGCTCAATTCAAGGAACTCACGGCCATTGCTTTAGCATTAACAAAGGCAAGTGAGCCCATGAATTTTTTTTCTGAGAGTCTGTATGTAGTCAATCTTCTTCCAGGGCTATTAGGTCAAGTGAGCCCATGAATTTTTTTTTTCTGAGAGTCTGTATGTAGTCAATCTTCTTCCAGGGCTATTAGGTTCTCATATCCAGTTGGATAGGAACCCCATTACTCCCTTGATGATTCAGACTCAGATGCTCCTTAAAGAGAGAAAAGCCCCTATTTTCTTACAGCATCTTAGGGGCCACCAAGGATTGCCTGGGCTTTTATCCCAAGGCAATACAGAGGTGGACAAGATGGCTTCCACCCAGGTCCTGTCAGCAGGCCTGAATGAAGCTCAGGGGTTACATAACCTCACTCATGTTAATTGGTAGGGACTCCACAACAGGTTTCCTCAAGTTCCCATCAAGGACCTAAAGAAGACTGTACATACCTGTAAGTCTTGTCAACCCTTTCTACAGGTACAGCCTCTGCAACAGCCAGGGGTAAACCCCAGGGGACTCAAGCCCAATTCCTTGTGGCAAACGGATGTCACACACTATGCTCCTTTTGGAAAGCTTAAGTATATTTTCGTGTCCATTGACAGATTCTCACACACCTGTTGAGCTACCGCTCATACAGGAGAGAGAGAAGTCTAAATATGCTCAGTCTCATTTTCTCCAGTGCTTTGCTACATTGGGATTGCCCCAAAGAATTAAAACTGATAATGGATCATGTTTTGTGAGTAAAAATTTACAAGATTTCTTTTCACTTTGGGGACTTCAACACAATACAGGAATTCCCTACAATCCCCAAGGTCAAGCCATTGTAGAACACAACCAACAAAACCTAAAAATTCAATTAAAAAAACACAAAGGGGGAATAAGCCCCCACCAACAGTTGGGCATGGCCTTATTCACTATTAATATTCTTAATTTTCAAAAAAATCAGTTGGAATCCCAGTTTCAGAAGCATTGGGGTCGAAAGGAGCAGAGACCTGAGGTACGTGTAAGGTGGAAGGACCCCATCACAGGGCAATGGAGAGGCCCAGATCCATTGCTAACCATGGTTAGAGGCTTTAGGTGTGTCTACCCTACAGGAGATTCAAACCCCATATGTGTGCCTTTGAAAAACCTTAAGTGGGTAAGCCAGGATCCGACTGACTAGCATGACGGTCCATGGAAAATAGTTCATAAGAAAAAATTCCTTTCTTTATAAGAGCCATCTGAGGTGAAGGACCCAGTACCTTGGCTTCATTGCCAGTCAGCCTCTTTGACAACTGGCTGATTTGCTAAAAGGTACATGATTTGCTAAAAGGTACATGGTCTCAGAAGTATTTCTCTTGATAATGCTTATCTTTAAATGTCTTTACCAGATAATTCGGTGACAGAGGACCCTTGGAACTGCCACGGCCCACCTCCACATGATTACAGACTCCCCCAGGAATATACCCCCTCTGGTTGGCCACGCTTGGCTAACGGAGTTAGGCAGAGACTAAGACTGTCACGGGCTGGCATTACCCACATGGCTGCCCTTAATCATGATGCATTTTTAGCCAAGGACGGGTAAGATGTCCCATGACAAGCACTCCTAAGACAGGACATGCACATGGCCAGGTGCATGGTCCAATGACGGGCAAGGCTTGGTCAGAGGTGACACAACCTAAGACAGGCAAAAATGCATAAGATTAGAGGAAGGAGATAGCCATCTCTCCTCAGGGAGCTGTCTATGAGATGAGTAACCTGTGAAATAAAGTCAGTCCGGCCTTATAAAATAAATATAAAAGGGGGAGATGTGGGGACCTAAAAGCCCTGTCTTGCCAAGGTGACACCAAGAGGAAGTTACTGGGGCATGGCCTGACTTGTCCTTAAGACACACCCTCAGGGGGAGAGGGGGATTTCCAGATGCCTTTATAAGCTCTGTAATGCCTGCAATAAATGAATCCCTGCTTAACTAGACTCCCCGTTGCATCTGATTATTCCCAGTGCTGGGGGTGGCAAGGGCTGGTGAATGGCACGCTTACTCATCCCCAGTCATCCTTGCGTAGGGGTCGCAGGCTCAAACCCTCTGCAAAGTCCTAGCTAAAGCAGTAAGACAAAAGCATGAGGAGAGAAAAAAGGAAGGGAGGAAGGAAGGGAGGGAGGGAGGGAGGGAGGAAGGAAGGAAGGAAAGGAAGAAAAAGAAAGGGAGTGTGTGAGAGAGAGAAGGAAGGAAAGAAAAAGTATGTAAAGTAGAAGAGAGTAAAATTGTCTGACTTGTAGATTGCATGGTCTTTTTGTAAAACATTTCTATGTTAATGTTAAAGTATAATGAATTTCTCAGTTTTAGTTCACACAGACATAACATGTACTTTAGTCAAATCCACAGCTACTGTACTCTCTTGTTCTTCTTCCTCTGTCCTCTATACCCATCCTTTTCTTAATATTCTATTTCATTCTTTGCTGTCTTTATATTTTATGTAGAATGTACTTAGTAGAGAAAACTTGTAATGCTTGTCTGAGTCTACCTTATTTCAATAAAAATAAGGATCATCAATTTAGTAGTGCAGTTTTGTGCATATGGCTTACAACCTGATTTCTGTGTTGAAGTAAAGACACAACATCATTTACATGGCATTCAGAGCTCTTAAAAGGTTAGTTAGGGAAAGGAAACTGTCACATGCTTACTTTTCAAGCTCAGGGAATTGTATTTTCCATCTAAAAGTGTGTGTCTCAGATTTATCTTTCATGAATACATGCTTCCAAGACAGAGTCTTTCCATCAAAATTAATATCATCAAAAATTCATTCCTGGGGACAAAGAACAAATATACGATTCCTAAATTTTGAAGGAAAACATGTTTAAATACTCTTGTAGTGCAGAATCCAAATACTATTTTATTGGACTTCATACAGAGCAAGATTCTCCAGGAGCAGAGTATACACATTTGCACATTTTTCTCCAAACCTGCTAGCTCCTTCCCTTTAGGATGCAACACCAGAACAAACAAACAAACAAACAAACAAATGAACAAAAACCAAAAACCAAAAACAAAATAAAGTATAATTTCTCCATAGTGCATACTAATACAATGTATTCTAGATTCAAATTCCAGCTATTCCTTGAAAGATTTTTAGGTTATAGGAGAGAAGGAAAGATTTTTTTTTCTTATGATGCTACTTCCTTCATCCATTTTGATATTAAATTGTCTGAGGCCTTTTCTTAGCAAATATATTCATATCTTTGTAGAAAACATTTCTTTCCCTAGAAGAGATCTAATTGAATATAAGATTGGTCTGAACCCTTACAACCAGAACCAACAGATTCTCAAACTGCTAAGGTATGATTTTCCACAGTGCTCATGTGTCTCAGATATTGCCTATTTTCATATTCAGGAATCTTTTGAATGTCAAACACAGTCATGGAATATTTCATCCAAACTTTACTTTTTCAAATGTTACTGGTGAATATTTCAGTTTAGCATAACCTCAAATGCTCTGAGACACCTAAGGATTTTCACACATAAATACAGTGTGTTGTGATCAAATTCACACACACTGTCTCTTTACTATCCTTCCCATACCCTCCCATGCCCATACCATCATACCTGTATTCAAATATTCTACTGTCCTTCTCATTCAATGAATTTTGAACATATTTAGACTTCTTCCCTTATCTAGACACTCCCACTCACTACCTCAATCAATTGCATGTACTCTGTTATGTATATGTAAATGTCTATTGAGTCAAACCTGTGTCTCCAAATGCCTTTTGGTATAGGTCCAAACACTGGAGCCTGATCAACCTGTCTAGTAACACACTAGAAAAAAAAAATGACTTTCCCTTTCCCAACAGCCACAAGTTGCCAATAGTTTCTTAGTAGGACTAGTGCCTCCAACCCACTTCCTCACCTCCATCCTGAAATTCTGTGATATCAGGCCTACAGTCCTGTGGCTAGACATGTCATGGGTTATAAAGGAGAATCTACTACTATTATTCTGCTAAATGGACAGTATTGAACTGACACCTAATGACTCACTGTTATACGGATAGATTAATACACTTGGGTATTTTTTAAACATGTATTGTTTTTTATTATTTTTAATTACTTGTGTATATCTCTTGCATGGATATAGGCACTTGAGTGCAGGTGTCCACAGAGCTCGGGAAAGGATGTTAGATATCTCGGAGCAGAATTTACAGGGAGTTGTGAGCTCTTCACCATGAGTATTGGTGTCTGAACTCAGGTCCTCTGCAAGAGCTATATGTGCTCTTAACCACAGAACCATCGCTCTAGCTTGCACTCATAGTTCTTATCACGGCAGATTCTAAGATCAGCAACTTTTATTCCCTATTGTACAGGGACTGAATCTTAGACATATCTTCTAGAATGTTTGTCTCTAAGACAAAATCTTTCCATCAATGGAGATAATTAATACCTGGGAGACAAAACAGATTCAAGATTACTGAATTTTGAAAGGAAGTGTCTTTAGATTAATATCTTTTAAATATAGGACGATACCAGTGTTTCACTGCATTTCACATTTGTGGAGCAAGATTCACTATGAGTGGAAAGGATCCTTCTGAACATTTTTCTCCAGCCTTGCTGCCTCTTGACTTACAGGACCCGAAACAGAAAACATAAATCATCTATCCATCGTGCATTAAGTGAATCTGTTCCAACTTCATATCCTAGCTTTTATGTGAAATATATTTTTTAGTTTTTTTCTCATAAACACACTACCTTAGCACCTGTCTATTTGATATCAAATTATATGAGTGATTTTCTTGTAACTTTGTACATATATTTTGTAGTGAAAGTGTATTTTTCCTGGAGCAAGTCTCGTTGAAGATGGGGTCGATGTGAACACTATCAACTATCCTCTAGCACCTCTAAGGCTATCAAGGTACGTTTTCACTAGTGCTGGTGATTACTAGATATTACTACTTTTCATAAACTAGAATCATTACTTTCAAGGTTGGTTAAACACAGTGTAGCATTTATACCCATTCTCACAAAATACATTTGGTAAATACATTATTTTCTTATACTGAGTGATGTGAGACACACAAAGATGAAACATTTAAACATCCAAAAGGATAAATCCAAGTACCACTATTTTTCCCTAAACATCTTTAGCAACCAAAACTAATCAGGTGGCTGAGCTAAAGTTTACCTAGACCTCACCAATAGAAGTCTTAATTATGAATATTAAGCTCTTGATTCAAGCATAAAGGAACATAACTCATTCTGCACTCTTGATATTGATGTGCTATTGATACATTAAGTCTCTGAATTCTTTGAAAGGGAGTGTGTTCCTCTTGAGTTTGTGGTAGAAATAATTTTTTTCCATATTATTGCTCAAATATTAATTCTTATGTGCTGATTATAAACATAGTTATAAAAATAAGTTAAAGTTTTATTGTTATCCCCTGCACTGTGGTACACATTTTTCTATTTTACTTTTATTTTTTATTTTATTTTATGTGTATGCGTGTACTTCCTGTATGTAGGTATGTGCACTCATGTCATGCAATGCTTATGGAGGACAGAAGAGATTGTTGGATCCCCTGGAACAGGATTTAAGGGACAGTTGTTAGCTGCCATGCTGGTACTCAGACTTGAACCTGGCTCTTCTGTAAGAACAGTCAGTGTTCTTAACCACTGAACCATCTCTCCAGCCCAGATTTTCCCACTTTAGTCATTTCTCATAGGAAATAATAAGCTGCTGATCTTAGTCTCACTTTATAAACAGCTGATGGAGCAGGTGTGTGAATACCAGGAAAAGAACCCAAGATAAGAGGAGTTTTTGGTAAAAGGAAGATCCAAGATACTCATCTGGTGTTTCCAATTCTGTTTCCAACATAATTATCATTGTAGTAGCTTTCAGCAGTGTTTACCAATGTTTAGACACTTCTACATTCCAATGATATTGGGGGAGAGTAGGGTGACCTAAAAGACAGGTCAAGATGACGGAGAACTTCTAAGAACAGAGTTGCACTCATTTTCTTGATTAAGTATTTACATGTGTGTTGATAAAATTGCTTCATATGAAGTTATTATTGAAATGGTATCAGAGGATATGAATTTCTTTTGATCTCAAAAGCATTAGATTATGAACTAACAGTTGTATAGTATGAGAAAATAGGTTCCAAAGCTTAAGGCTAAGAATTTCAAGAACTATATAACTTTAAATTTTGAGGCCCAAACTAAGTAAGAACAAGACTAACCAAAGTGCTATAATTAGCTCTGCTATTTCTTTTCGGCATATCTGGAAGAGAATCTTAATTTCTCTGTTAAAATATTATATAAAGGCAATTTGAAATTATGTATAAAATGATATTAACCCCCTACTTATAAAGGGGAATGAGTAAGATAAGTGACTACAAAAGATTTAAAGACAGTAGGTAGTCAGTAATTGTACTTAATATCATTTTTCTTGTCTAAGATCAATTGTCTATAGATCATTTCCTTATCTCTAAAATGGATAAAATAATAGCAATTGCACAAACCACACAAAGTACTAAAGCAGCCACACGTGCAAAGCACTTGCCACATGCAGTCCAAAGAACTATTTTTAATATAGACTATTAAAAAGTTATCACAGATATTTAGAAAATATTGTACTTTATCTTACACTACTTCTTGCATCTTTACATGACATCTTCCTCTTTATAGTCCCTAGAACTCTGTAAATTAATTCTGTTCTCTATTGTTTATTAGCTTTAAATAATTGTAGGATACTTGTAATTAGTTTGAAAATGATGACACTCAATGCATTAACATTCCTACTTCTTGCAAAATAATATTTTTCTTAAACAGTAAACAAAATTTGTGGTACATATTCTCATATGTGACATTCTCTTCTGGCTTCCACAGTTTACTGAACTCAAAACTATTGCTCCCAAACTTCAAAACAGTTGACTATATTAGTGTCCTACATATCCTCACACGCAAACTGAAAATACTTTTCCGGTCATTTTCTCAGTTTTCTGTCATAGTTCTCCATTTACCAGTAATAAATGGGGAAAACATTTACCTTTACAATGATGGGTGCTTCTTCTGTCTTCTACTCTCCCATTATGGATTCAACTCCTTATAGTCTCAAATTCACTTTAGGCTTTGAGTCATCTGAGATAATTCAGTAGATTTGATAACCTTCCAGTTTATTTGAAATTTCTATATTTACATGTTTTGCAATTACTTTAACCTAGGAGGCATCATAAGTAATCTTAAGTACCACAAACTCATTTTTGTAATATAACAAAACCTGTCATTAGGCTGGGTATGGTGGCACATACCATTCATCCCAGCACTTGGGAGGCAGAGGCAGGAGAATTTCTGTGAGTTGGAGGTCAGCCTGGTCTACATAGCCAGTTCTAGGCTAGCCAGGGCCACATAGTAAAACACTTTCTCAAAAGAAAATAAAGAAAAATAAATCTCATAGATTAAACAACTTAATAAAATCTAAGCATTGATAATTAGAATGCAAAAATTAAATGTATTAGTGGCCATATATTTTTTTTCACAGTACATAAAAGTAAATTCCTCAAGAAGCAGATGGAGAACAGGAAGAACGTGACAGAATTTGTCCTCCTGGGGCTCACACAGAACCCAAACTGGCAGAAAATCATATTTGCTGTGTTCTTAGCCATCTACATTATCTCTGTGGTGGGAAATCTTCTTGTTCTTATCACAATCATTCACAGCAGATTGTCAGGGTCACCTATGTACTTTTTCCTGGCCAATCTCTCCTTTATTGATGCCTGCTTTTCCTCGGTCAATAACCCTAAAGCAATTGTAGATTCACTTCATGAAAGGAAGACCATCCTCTTTAGTGGATGCATAATTCAAGTCTTTGGAGAACATTTCTTCGGAGGTGCTGATGTCATCCTGTTAACAGTAATGGCTTATGATCGCTATGTGGCCATCTGCAAACCCTTGCACTATGCAACCATCATGAACCGAGGACTGTGTAAACTGCTAGTGGGAATGTCATGGGTGGGAGGCTTTCTTCATGGGATCATACAGATTCTCTTCATTATTGACTTACCTTTTTGTGGCCCTAATATCATAGATCACTTTATGTGTGATCTGAACCCTTTGCTCCACCTGGTCTGTACTGATACGCACACTCTGGGACTCTTTATTGTTGCCAACAGTGGGTTGATCTGTGTGTTAAACTTCCTCCTTCTGCTTGGCTCCTATGTGGTCATCCTGCGCTCCCTCAGAAAGCACAGTGCTGAGGTGAGGCACAAAGCCCTCTCCACCTGTGTCTCACACATCACAGTGGTCATTTTATTCTTTGTGCCCTGCATATTTGAGTATATGAGACCTACAACTACTTTATCCATCGACAAGGCAGTTGCTGTATTCTATATAATGATAACTCCCATGTTAAACCCTTTAATTTATACCTTGAGAAATGCTGAGATGAAAAATGCCATTAGGAGATTGTTTAGTAGAAAAGTTCAATCAGAGGACAAATAAATCAACAAATATCCAAATTTGACTGAATTTAGAAAACTATCCAAAGAATATAAAAATGTTGTCAATATGAAATTTTTATAGTATGGAGATTGAAAAAAAATAATTGTCATTACTAAGTACTGCACTGAAACAAAATGTGTGCTTTAAATGAAGAAAACATAGCCTAAGTTTTGTTATCATCACAGCACTGTACAGTATTTCACATAATTCCCAATCATAACTTTACTCAGTATCAATTGATTACAACTGTTCAGTTATGAGAATCCTTTGATACAGTGAGATAAAACAATAAAGCTTTTCAGGTCAGAATTGACTGATTTGTATTTTAACTATATTATTCATTGTGTAATCAAAAAAAGGATGCCTTTGAAGTTGACTTCTGAGGCTCCAGGATCTGAGTACTGATTCTGCACTGATATTTCCCAATTCAGTGACATTGTTTGTTCCACTGAAGCTTTCCACCCACATTGAAAATTGATCCAGAACTCTTCAAGGTATCAATCCCATCAGACATCAATTGTTTTCTCAAAGTTTTGATCATAGTTATATATCTGATAGTTTGGATAAAAGGGCTTAAATTATAAACCACACTACATTCCAATGTCCTTGAACACTAAATCCATAATACCTTACATTTTGATCAGAGAAAGTATAGCATTTCTAATTGAATCATTGTAAACACTCTTTTAACCATATTACAGTTAAATATTTCAACAGAATCCTTCTTTACTGCAACTGATTCAACAGTAAATGAAGGATTTTTGTTTAGTGAGTATATATCAGTAAACTTGGTTTGACACAACTTGAAATTTTTCCACCATTATCATACATAACCCTTGATACATTAGACAATGCATGCAGTTTTGGTAATGTAGTTCATCTTTCCCTGGGCCACATTTTGAACCACTTTCAGGGTGCTACAGGGTCTTGGATCTATTTATAAGACCAGATAATGTTGCTACAAGTGAGTCGAAACAGAATTAATATTTTCTTGCAAGAACGTCTTTATGTGGAGGCCATGATAGCTACCTTACACAATGCAGGAAAAATCCTTCAGGCAAGGTGAGGAGACCACTTATTGGAATAGGAAGGCATTTAGGAGATTTTATCAATTATGATGACTCCTCCTTTCCATTCTGTTTTCTCAGTTCCTTCATCATCAGTGACAGCCTCTAGAAGTCAGGATTTATCTTTTTCTAATCCTGTTTGTATATTAATCACTTCATCATTATTTGGAAACTCTGTATCCATGAAAATTCCCTACATGCAGGACCTGATATGGAACTTTATGAATATAAAGAGAGAAGGAAGGGATGGAGGGAAGCCAACTAAACAATGAGAAGAAAGGAAGTTTTTTTCTCAACAAGAGTCTTGGTATATCCTGGTGCTTGAGAGCTCAGCAGGACACATTGTACTACAAAGCTGATTTCCTGAAAGAAACTCTACCTATGATATCTACTGAAGGCCACTCAGATACCAATTGTGATGTGCATGATTCATCCGTGGGTGATTCTTTTCCTAAATTCTATTGTCCCAAGACTTCACAGTAGCTGGGATATGAACATATACGTCTGGTAGAGGGGATTGGAACTGGATTCAACAACATTCCTTGTGTTTCACTTCTTCCTTTGCAGGTCAGTCTTGCACACTTGGGTCAATACAACAATCCTCTTCCTGTTACTCTTATCTTTCTTGTACCACATATCATAGAGTAGTTAGAATTATTATTCCAAAAGCCAAATGTCACTCCACCAGGCTCTAGCTTGAAAATACTCTCAGTATTCTCCTCAGGGTCCTTATTACCAATCCTTGACAGGATTATGACACCCATCTTGAGCTTGCCTCTCCCTACTTCATGTTTCACAGTGTACCTAGTATAAAAATGATGAATATTTGACATATGACACTCCATATAGTTTTGATAAATAATTGTTGAATGAACGATGAACTGGTACCCATAGGTGTGTTATGTTGACTAGAGCTCACACATACTCTTTTTATATGTAGACCTATATCTTTCCTTGTCTGTTACCAGCCCTAGAGCTTCTTTGCATGTCTTTTTTTTTCCATCTTGGTGACCTTATTTTCCTGCAGGTGTTATTTTGAGGTCATTCTCATGTCATCATTTCCTATTCCCAATTCAAATCTCTGTTTTGGGTTCACCAATGTGCTTCCAAAGTCCCCTAACCATATTAACATTTATAACAATGAACAGTGATTCTCTATTTTTCATTGTGAATCTCTTACTGTATTTTTATTTAAGTCAAGAAAGAATTGAGCTGTTATTTTTTTTCACCTACTAAGTGCCTAAAAAATCAATATTCATTTAGTTTAAGTATTTGCATTTTATTGAGGGATAGAAAAATTGAATGAAATATAATATTTATCCTGAAATCATTTGGGCATCAGAGAGAGGTACTCTATTTTTCTCTCTTATATTTTTATTGAGCTTTTGTGCATTTCACATAACACACAGTAATCAAATTTAGACTCCCTCCCCTTCCTTACCACCCATAGGCGCCCCCATCAAATTTCAGGTAGACTCTCATATATGTTAAGTCCTATCCAGTCAAGCATTTGTATCCAGATGTCCCTCAGTGCAAGTTCATCCACTGGAGTCTAGTCGGCCTATCTAGAATCTACAGTCGTTCCCTTAAAGAAGACCTACTCTTTCTCACTCAGCAGTAATCAGTTGCCAATAGTTTCTCAGTTATGTATTCTTGTATTTCACTTCTGCATTGTTTCCCTGGCATTCTTACATTGATTATTAATGTCTTTTTGTGTACTTACAATCAGTTTTAAAAATAAGAAATTGTAACACATTTGTATATCTGTTTCTTGCCTAGGACTATTTTTCTAAAGTAGTGAAAAAATATGACATAAATTTTTGAATACCTAAGGTTCCTTCTCTGGAGTCACCATTTATTGAGCCCCAACCTGTTTTACCATCAAAAACACAGTTTAATTTATCATTGTCTAAGATTCTGCCATATTCAGGTCCTTGATAGTCTGATCATTTTTATCAATTACATTTCAGGTCTCCTCAGAATGAAAGGGGAAAGGTTTACTTTCTAATGACTGGATATTGCATTCAACTTCTACCCTTTTTATGAGTTTCACTGCATCCAGGAGTGCTATTGACAACTTATATTTAGGGTCTGAATCATCTCAGAGAAGCCAGTATACTTGAAATTCTCATAGTGTATTTCTAAATATTATTCATGATTATACTGTTTGCAGTTATCTTCACATAGAAGGGAATTTGAGTATCCTATTCAAAACATTTTTCAAATATCAGTAGTCAGTCTTCTTAGATTTTATAAAATCTAGCCATTATTTGAATATAAAAATTAAACATGAAGAAGTACTATTTTTTCCAGGAAATATAATTAACTTTCACACGAAACAGATGGAGTGGAAGAACATTGTGACGAAGTTTGTCCTGGACCTCACACAGAACCCAAAGGTACAGAACATCATATTTGGTATGTTCTTGGCCATCAACATCATCTCTGTGGTGAGAAATCTACTCATTTGGTCAGCACTACTTAAAGCCATTTGGTGAAGTCCCCTATGTACTTCTTCCTGGTTTATTCCTCCTTTATTGATGTGTGTTATTCTTCAGTCAATAATCCTAAAATGAAAGAAGATTCACTCCATGAGAGGAATCTGAATGAATGCATGACAAGAATTTGGGAAATATTTCTTCAGAATATCTTCTTGAAGAGATATTCCTTCAAATTTTGATGGCCTATGATTGTCAATTGGCTATCTGCAAGCTCCTACATTATATAAACATCATGAAATCAAGGAGCGTATAGCCTGCTACTGGGAATGTCCTAGGTATGAGGTTTTCTTTATGGAACCATAGAGATGCTATTCCTTATTGGACTACCTTTCTGTGGTTCTAATAGCATGTATCACTTTATATGTGATCTGAACCCTTTGCTTGATCTGGCCTGTACTAATACCCATATTTTGGAATTTTCTTGTTGCTTCCAAAAATGGGGTCCTCTGTCTGTTTAGCTTCCTCCCTCTGCTGGTCTCCTATATGGTCTCCTGCATTCTGGAAGGAATCATACTGTAGAGGAGAGGTGCAAATCCCACTCCTCTTATGTCTCCCATATCACAGCTTTCTTATTCTTTGTGCCCTGCATATCTGTGCTCATGAGACCTGCAACTACTTTACCCATTGTTAAGGTAGTCACTGTATTCAACACTACGATAACTCTCATATTAAACTTCTATACTTTGAGAAATTCCCAGATGAAAAGCACATTCAGAAGAAATTTTAGTATAAAAGTTCATTTAGTGGACAATAAACAACTACTCAACTTCAATTTGACCTAAGAATCCAAAGGAAATTATGGATGATTTTCATATAGTTATTTTACAGTAGGATGATTAAAAAATATCATTTATGAATTCTGCTTAGAGAAACAGAAATGAGTGCCAGAAGTGCTGAAAAACTTGGCATAAGCCATGTTGGATTGTAGCCACAGAGTTGTGATATAGCCCACACACTTCTTTCCTCTAGCATCAGTTAAACCAGTACTAACTGATTACTCTCTTCATTCTCATGTACCATCTGTTTCAAAGACCAGATAATAAAGGACTTTTCAGATCAGACTACTCTAATTTCTACTCTGACTATCTCATTCATTACATAACCACAAAAAAGCACTGGAAGGATAAGTGTTTCCCATTATCTCCTGAAGCCCCAGGAGGACAGTACTGATAGTGCATTTATGCTTCCCAGTTAAGTGACTTTTTCCATTGTAGGGTTCCACCAACAGGAACAATTAATCACAGAACTCTTCAGGCTATCTTTCTCTTTAGTCATCATTTTCTTTCTCTCTGTTTTGATCATAGTTATGTCTTCTGGTCTCTGTTAGGTTGGCTAGAAAGGTTTTAATGATAAATAATACTAACATTCTAAGTTTCCTGAGATAAATACTTCCTTCCTTTTTGCTACGGAATGCTCAGCTTTTCTAATTCTC